TCTTTCCCTGATCCTACTATTTCAGCAAAGCTTAGGACTGAATTCAGAATACGGGTTTCAGTAAACGTAACCGAACATACCCGAATGGACTCTGTTTGATCGATAATAGCTCGACGTCTATCTGCAAAAGGGTTTATACATGCGTATGACACCAGGAAGAAACTCTCTTTAGAAGCCGATAAACTTGAAGAAGAAGAAGATTCGACCTCACAATGTAGATCGAGTTTACCTCTATCGTTGCGTTCGGAGGAATCTCCTGAACTCCCTTCTTCCCATAAGCCAGCTCCGGAGGTACAATCAACAATCTCTATATGTATAGTGTTCAGATTCATACATTAACAGCTACCTTTCTGGATGAAATTTTAAACCCTAGCAATGGAGATAGGCAATCCACATTGCTACCACCACAATGCATTTTTAAAGATCTAAACTGATCAGCGTGTGAAAAGGCTTTCGAAACGAACATACCTGGCCACCGACCCGCATGCCTTCAACCCCGAGGTCAAGCCCTTTGAGCACGTTCCCTCTCTCAGATTGCCCGATATCAAACCCGTAAGGCTGCATTCGCGTTTTTCTCATGTTAGATTTCCACAAACTGAATCCAATACCGAAAATGCTGCTTGTTATATCCTTTTCTTTACCGTTCCACCTCCAACACCAAGCCCTTGCCGGCTAGTCATGAATGTTATCCCTTTCCATTTCGCCACATAGTGAACCTGAAACATCCCACAAAAGCCCTTAGTATGAATCATATAGCTTCGATGCGGAAAAAAAGAGTTTTTTTGGTTGTCCGAAGCTGCGGAAGCATAAATCGGGTAATGAAAGCTAACAAGAAATCATCACAAACCGTACTGCAACCCGAGACCCCTTCACGGCTTCTGCTCCACTCCCGACCTTCAGATCATAGTACCTAAAAAGACAGAACAGAACTCTGATCACAATACTACTTAATGATCAGGGTTTCTCGTATCATAAAACACAACATGAATGCAGAGTGATCTAACTAGGGAACGAGAGAAATGCACTGACTTGAGACCATTGGGAAGTGCGGTGAAATCGCTCTCTGGTATTTTTGATGCTCTTAGCTGCAGCATAATTCGAATCCATTTGAACTCACGATTGAAAAATCAGAAATTGGAACCAAGAAGAAAGACACACACAAACAGAGAAATTATGTATGTATATACATACAGCTCTTCTGCTGGTGCTTACTGCCTCGGCCACATCGGTTAACCAAGCCCCAGCAGCTGCAGATTCAGACCGCAAGATTCAAGATCAGTATGATGCATCAGGTGATTAAGAAATTGAATATGTAAAAAATCTTTGGATTAATAGAAAAGCCCCATTTTTTATCTAGCAAATCCGATCTTTTTAAGACTCAAACCGGCGGAGAGGAGACACCCAAGCAAAGCCCTTCTTCCGCCGTCGATCACAGGCGGCGTAGCAACCGCCTCCGGTTTTAACCTTTCGCTGGGAAATTGCAACGAGCACCGGCACGACGAAACAACCAAGTTCTTACCAGATTCATTTTTTCCAGCGAATTCGAAGAACCCTAGAAGCAAAAATCAAAGCACTGAAGTGAAATGCCTGTTGGTATTCAGATTTCTCGATTTGTAGACAAACCCACATGAATACAGAGGCGTATATACAGATAATCATAGAGAGGAAGAGTGGAAAGATCGTACTTGATGGAATTGGAATTGAGGAATGGAGAGGGCTATGGAGAGGGAGGGAGAGTTTCATTGTCAAAGACTATTTTTTTCTTTTATGATCGATACAGTGTTATGTTTATGTCTGATATCAATCCTTCCATTCCATGCCTCTCCGTTTGTTTCTTTGTCTGTCGTCTCAGAGCGATAGAAGATAGAATTAGTACATTCTCGTCCACAAGTTAGGATCTTTCCGCATTGTGACTCCGATTACTTGATTTTGGGACAAACCCACATAAGACCATAGATCTGTAAATGTGTATTCACCCGTAAATGTACAGTGGGGAGTGAAAGTTCGTCACTTGAATGAGAAGCAACCTTTGTGCATGTTCTTCAATTTGGGATTAAGGGAAATGGGATATTTTCTTGAAATTTTGCAAATTGTATGTATATTATTTATCCATATTTTACGAAATTACCATTGATTATAAATTTAAATTTTGGAATTCTGTCGATGTTTCCTCGAACTGCCTTGTCCGGCCCCTCATATCGGTTTCGTCTCTCGTCGGCCCTCGTCTTCCCGATATGTTTTTCGCCCGCGTTTCCGTGTTTTGAATGCCGAAAATTTAGGATATATCCGAAATTCAAACATATAAATTAATTGATTAAAATTCGTATCCACCTTTTAACGTAAAATGCAACAGTGAGATATCAATGTCACGTTGGATGGGGTTGGCAAAGGGCAAAGAGTGTTGCCGTTTAAGGTTACTGTCTCATCACATGGCTGAAGCAATTAGGCTTCGACGTCAGTCTCCTTAATTTACGACCTCCTCAACGCTCTCTGCAGCTCTCAGTATGCATTTATAATCATAAACTTGTTTGATTACAAAATACACAAATAAATAAATAAATAAAATGTATCCAATTGCATAAATTGGTGGGGGAAAAAAAGAGGATAGGGTTTGTTAAGGGAGAAATTTGAGAACTGCAAGTTTCAGATACTTTAGTCACATGATTAATCATGTGTCTTTACGAAATTTCTCCAACTCCCACATATATTAGGGTTGGACATTTCGATTTCGGTTACTCGGTTATTGTACCATTAGGATTTTGTTTTTTTGCAAAAATTGCACTCATTTAATGCTCATGTCAGATTTTAATTAGATTCCAAATCTATTTAACTTCAGTTTTCATTATAAAAAAAATTGTTTATTCCTATAGAAGATTTCTGGAACCAAATGAGGATTTGAATATATAAGTCATATATTACCCACAGCTTTATATAACGACTCCTCCTAAATTTAACCGAACCCTGACACCACTTTGGTCCGAAAACGTTTCTTCTTCGTGGTGGCACGAGAAATGTGAGGTATGACATAAAAAAGCCGACATTGAATATGTCTTCTTCTCGTGGATGCTTTGCGTGTTACTTACTTTGGTCTTGCATTTGGATAGAAACCCGTCCGTTTCATGATATATTAATGACACAAGTTTTGTACTATGGTTGGTAGGGGAAATAATATAAGATTATGTATATTAAATGACAAAAGTCATTTGCATGATTGGTAGGAGTATATATTTAACTGCTCAGATCTTTTTTTTTTAGTTTTATTTTTTTCGATTCTTTTAAAAGTTATATCTAATTGATTTTAGTAATTTGGTTTCGGTGGAATTGATTGGATTTTTATTTGATTTTTAAAAAATCCTTTCTTTTTTACATTTTCAGTTGTTTTTATATTTATTGGTTACTTTGGTTTTAGAAAAAAGTCATACGTAATCATTTTTTAAATAATATTCGGCAAAGCTATATGTTATTGGGTGCAATTCGATTTATTACGAATTTACACAAATGTGGATAAGAGAATGATTATGTGACAAATTAATCAACAAAATCACTACTCGAAAGTGTATAAAATTCATCGGAAAAACTTAGAAACAGCATCATAAAATTAAAATAATATATTTTTATGATACGATTGGATTGGTCTTGATGTTGGAAAGACCCTGCAACAACAAAACTCAGATGGGTGTGCATGCATTTTGCCAATTTATTACTCCACAAATCGTTTGACCAACTTGGGCACACACACAAACGCAAACTCCTCCTTTAAATCTCCCACCACCCACCACCTTCTTCTTCATTCACTCCCCTCATCTCTCCCTCTCTCTCAATAATCAAAGAAGATGATGAAGATCTCGCGCTTGTCGGTTCTTGCTTCGTTTCTTGCAATTTTTCTCGCCGGTTTCTCCGCCTTAGGACAGCCTCTTGTCCCGGCGCTGATCATAATGGGAGACTCGGTGGTCGATGTCGGAAACAACAATAACCTCAACACTCTCGTCAAGGCTAACTTCCCTCCTTACGGTCGTGATTTCGCCTCCCACATTCCCACCGGCCGCTTCTGCAACGGCAAACTCGCCACCGACTTCACCGGTTCGTCGCATTTTCGTCCTCTCTTTCTCCAGAGATTTTAGGGTTTGGGGTTTAGGTCCTTCTTCTCTCACGTTTTCCCTTCTCTCTGTGTTTCGGTCTGAGCAGCTGACTTTCTAGGGTTTCCATCGTACCCTCCTGCGTACCTTAGCCGAGAAGCAAGAGGGAAGAACTTGTTGACAGGAGCCAATTTCGCCTCCGGAGCCTCCGGTTTAGACGACGGAACCGCCCGGATATATGTAATATTCTTCGGTTTAGGGATAACCGGTTTTATTTCTTTTGGTTTATGTTAATTAAGCACAGGAGGGTTTAACATTTTTTTTTGGCAGAATGCAATCTCACTGAATCAACAGCTGAACAACTACAAAGAATACCAAAGCAAAGTGACGAGCATGGTGGGAAGAGCACGAGCCAACGAGATTTTCGCAGGCGGGATTCATCTTCTAAGCGCGGGATCGAGTGATTTCATCCAAAACTATTACATCAATCCGATCCTTAACCGGGTTTACACTCCTGATCAGTTCTCCGATCGTCTCATGAACTCCTACGCCACCTTAGTCCAGGTACTCTCTACCTAACCAAAACCAAACCGGCTTAGGAAAACTGGTTATCTATTTCCCCGAGTAATTACACGCTTCATTTCTCGCAGAATCTATACGGTTTAGGGGCAAGAAAGATCGGGGTGACAACGTTGCCGCCGTTGGGTTGTTTACCGGCGGCGATCACGTTGTTCGCCGGGGCAGGGAACAACACGTGCGTGGAGAGACTAAACCGGGATGCGGTTTCTTTCAATACCAAACTCAACAACACGTCTATGTACTTAACCAACAAGCTTCCCGATCTGAAACTCGTTGTCTTTGACATCTACAACCCTCTCTTAGCTATGATCTCTAATCCGGCAGGAAACGGTACGGTTTACTTTTACAAGACCGGAAATTCGTGAACGGTTTATCGTAAATACCGAAACGGATACGGTAAAAATTCAAATTTCGGTTAATTATTGAACTAATAGACCACGGGAACACAAATACTAGGGTTTAACCAAACAAGACTAGACAGGGATTTTACAAAACGACCCCCATAGTTTTTGTAAATTTCGATTTAACCAGACAGGACTAGATAGGGATTTTACAAAACGACCCCTAGAGTTTCTGTAAATTTTGTGGACGACCCAAATCTTATTTTTGGGACATTTGATACAGGGTTTTTCGAAGCAAGAAGAGCATGTTGCGGAACGGGCACGGTCGAAACCTCGTTTCTATGCAACGAAAGATCGGTCGGAACGTGCTCGAATGCTACCAATTATGTGTTTTGGGACGGTTTCCACCCTTCCGAGGCGGCGAATCAAGTTCTGGCCAACGATCTTTTAGTTCAAGGAATCTCCCTCATTTCTTGAAAACCCTAAATTTAAGAGATGATACCAATGCTTATGTAACCGATTTTACATTGATATGGAAAAAGATTGTTCTATATGATTTATCTTAATTATTCGATGTTTAGACTACATAAAAAGATTACGGAATTTGATGCTATCTCTATGCCTTTGAGAAATTTTTTTGTTTAAGTTCAAGGTTACTAGTTTTCACGTTGGAATATACATGAATGTAACTCCTAGTTACATATACTAAAATTTCGCCTTAGACTATATATTAAAAGACTTTGCAGCATACCATATATTAGATGTTTGAAGCATGAAAAAACCTATTAATTGTACTCCATGTCCTTCGTCTATTAGTTTTTCGGATATTCGATATGAACCATATCAGTTATTGAAAATCGGATATTCAAACGATGTAGTTGGATTCAGGTTTGGATTGTTCGATCTACGTATATTCGAAAATTATAAAATATAATTTATTTTTTATATATATTTATAAAATTGTCATCTTTTATAAATTTAAACTTCAAAACTCCTATCGACTCTTTTTTGTTTCTTCTCATGTTTTATCTTCGTGACAGAGAAAATGGAAGAAATGGAATCTCAGTTTTTCCTTTTAAAAAAAAAGAACATATCCCATTACTAATGGGCCATTAGTCCATTCTAAATTGGGCCTCACTGGGCCGAGAGTAACTATCCTCAGAAAACTCCCGGCCTGGCAATTCTGTAGTTTCTTGATAATTCGAGGGTTTTACCGTAAACATATTTTATTGTAGTTGTCATTCTCGCAACTAGGGTTCTTTTGCCTTTCACAGACTTTCGACGGCGACGGAGTAGCGGCAGCCATGGTTCTCAAGTAATCTCTCTCTCTTGCACTCTTCTATTTGATTTTGACGATGAGATCGTAATCATCTTGTGTTTATGGATCAGTTACGTACATCTGTTCTAGGTCTAGTTATAGTTGGGTTTCGCGGTTTGCCTCCGATGCTGGATTAGTCTGAGATCGTAATTAACAAGTGTTCTATGTATTTTTCGGTTATGTTTCTGTTTGAAACCCGATTGTTCGAAGCTTTCTTGTTCGGTTTACCTGTTTCTATTAATTGGCATTTGCTGTTTGGTATTTGATGAAGCTGGTAGAGTCGAAATGCTATGTTAACTAGCTGTGGAACTGTACAAGACGATAGTGTTTGTGTAAAGGATTTGGATTATGTTCTTTAGGCTCTTTGCGATTTCGTATTTACTTTAAAGAGGAGAATTTTCGTATTCGCTCCAATGGGATTGAAAATATGCAGTCTTTTGTTGTGGGTTAGGCCTCCGGTAAGTACGTGTACGTATGTAGTCCTTTGATGCATTGATTGTTTTTTCTATAAATCTTTGATTCTCTTCAATTACAAATTGAGTTGACTGCGCTTTTCCATGAGTGAAAATGCTTGATTGGCTACAATCTGTGGCCTACGGTAATTGGAGCATAGATGGACAAGAGTTATCGCAACAAGTTTTGGGTGCTTCTTGTCTTAAACATCTAAAATTTTATGACCTCAATCTTATCGAGCATCTGTGTTCGAGCTGACCATTATCCGGATTTCTCTAGGACGGAACTCTGTCGTTTCAGTGGGGCCAAAATTTACCCTGGGAGGGGCATCAGATTTATCCGTTCTGATTCTCAGGTGAATATCTTAGATATTATTCTTACGGCCTTTACACATTTCCTTCTTTATACTCTTTTCTACCAGGCTGGAATCGCTAAATAGCTTATTTTATGTTATCGATCTTGTAGGTGTTTTTGTTTGCCAACTCGAAATGCAAGAGGTACTTCCACAACAGGCTGAAGCCATCAAAGCTTACATGGACAGCAATGTACAGGAAACAACATAAGAAGGTAAAAAAAGGCTAATCATCAGTCCACCACCATAGTTATTAAGTTAGGTTTTTATCTCATGTAGTTGAAAGGATAACTTCGCTTGAGAATAAGTTTGGTCTAATCGAATTTACTCATTACCTTGTTATGTGAAGGACATTGCCCAAGAAGCTGTGAAGAAGAGGAGACGTGCAACCAAGAAACCATACTCAAGGTCCATCGTTGGTGCCACACTAGAGGTTATCCAGAAAAAGAGAACTGAGAAGCCTGAAGTTCGTGATGCGGCTAGAGAAGCTGCTTTACGGTGTGTTTTCTTCTCCTCTCCTGCATTATTTATTTAACTTGTAACAATTCAAGATGTAAACTCGGATATCTGTGTTTTAATGCTGTAAATAAACACGAGTATTCCTTAGCATAAGCACTGATATCCGTCATGCAGTGAAATCAAGGAAAGGATCAAGAAGACGAAGGACGAGAAGAAGGCAAAGAAGGCAGAAATCTCGGCCAAGCAGCAGAAACAAGGCAAAGGTAACATTTCCAAGGGTCCTTCCGCAAAGGGTCCGAAGCTCGGTGGAGGCGGTGGAAAGCGCTGAGCTGAGCGGCTGCTTCCAAGCTATATCCAGTCCCCTCTCCTCTCTCTAGTTGGTTCGGTTTTATAACTTGTATTTGTTTTCGACATTCACAATCTCAATGTTTTTTTAAAATCTAGCACTGATGCTCTTGATGAGGGAGTATATTGAGATTCAAATGAAACGGTGAAACAGAAGATAGATTTAGAGTAACAAAGGGACATACATGGAACAGGAGATTGGTCTTGATCCGACATTAACCCTAAGTCCTAAACTAAAGGTTTTTCTATGTTATATTCATTACACCATCGACGGCCAGCAAGGTGAGCCGGCGAGGACCACCGGGTCGTTATATTCGTCGATGCTGTAAAGAAAATTTCCTCCGGCCAGATGATTTTCCGATCTAGGAGGAGCTATCACTGATGTGATTTCTGCCGTCTCATCTCCGCCGGAAAAATCTACCGTTCCTGTAGAGATTTGCTTCTTGTTCAAACCCTGATCTCTCAATATAGCTCTCAACTTCTTCACCTACGTATACACCCAGACAAAAAAAAAAACACAATTTGAGGGGGCTAATCTGATCAAATCCAAAATTTAGGGGAGAAAATTATGAAAGAAATATATTAATATAGCACCCCAAATTGAGGGATCAGTGTTTGATTGAATCTTGTTCAAGCACTGATCTCCCAACGTGGCTCCCAACTTCTTCACCTACGTATGCATACGCGCACACGCAGTCAAGTTGGGGGCTAATGAGAAAAAATCCTAAAATTAGGGGAGAAAAATAAGAAAGAAATATATTAAAATAAAACCCCAGGATTTGGAAAAGACTCAAGCAAGCACCTCTTCTTGAAGCCTGAGTTTCTCTTGTGCAACGGCGTCGTATTCTAGCCGGAGAGAGTCGTACAACTGTTCAAGCTGCTTGGCCTTCCACCGAGCACGACGGTTCTGAAACCAGACGGCGATCTGCCGAGGTTGCAGACCGAGTTCTCGTGACAGTTTCATCTTCCTGTCTGAATCCAGCTTTATCTCTTCGTGAAAGCTTCGTTCGAGTGAAGCCAATTGACTGCTCGTTAGTCTCTTCTTCTTCATCATCATCGTCATCATCATCACCTTCTCGTTACTGTCGTTGCTGTTGTTCAGGAACCGGTTTCCATTTGTGACGTTTTCCGGTTCTGGTACGGGTAGAACCGGACCGGTTTGTGTATCGGCCGTTGTAGATGAATTCCCTGATAGAAGTTTATCAAGTTTTTTGTCGCCGGCAAAAAAATAAATATATTGAATTTAGAATTAATAGGAAAAAAAATGTTCACACCTTTTCTTAAAAAGATTATACATACAAATGCTGAAATGCTACTTGTAAGACTACGTTTGGCTCTTTTTTTAACGTAAAGTTGGCATAAAAGAAACCAGACGGGAAAAAGTTAATACCATAGTGGTTCTTCTGGTAACCGAAAAGAATCTTAAGATGTGAAACATAGAGAAAGATGCAACATTATAATGTATACACACACACACACACACATATATATATATATATATATATATATCTACATATGTATATGCTCTTACATATACCACAAATGAGGAAACGTATATTGAAAACCCTACTTTCAATCCTTTAAAAAATGAATGAAAAGAAAAACCCTACTTCAACTCAAGAAAAACCTTACAATTCAAAAAATATTGAAATGTGTTTAAGATATATATGTACACACACATGCGTGTATATATATATATATATATATTTATAGACAAACCTGCGTAAGGATCAAAACTGAAGTTGTGGAGCAAGTTAAAGGGGTGATTAGGATACGGCCACCGCGGCATAAGGGCAGCTCTCACGTTTTCGTTCGACCATTCCATTTTTTTTTTGTTGTTGCAGTAAATCTTGATCTAGAAAACAAAGAACCAAGAGATGCTTTTTAAGGAGATCAAATATGGGTTTAATTTTTTGTTTTTTGTTTTAAAAGAAGAAAATGGCTAGGGTTTGGTGGACCACAACGAGAGAAGAGGCGTGACAAGAAGGTTCTTCCTTATGCTTTGTCTAATTTGAGGGTGCAACTATGTGTAAGCATGTGAAACAACAGAGAGAGAGAGAGAGAGAGAGAGAGAGCAGTGGCTTTGAACTGTGTTTATGTTCTATTTCTGTGTTTTTTGTTGTGTTGTGAGCTCTGATGCTTTCACCTTGTGAGGGAGCAACCTAACAGTGCCTTTGTTGTGGAATTTAAAGTGCCAAACAGGAAAGTGTGAAAGAGAAAGGGTTTCTGAGTTTTGTCTCACCTGCACGGTCTTCTCTAACGTATACGTACATAAATATTAGACAAAAATACATAAATTTTTTCAACCAAAAAAAAAATACACGTAAATTTTGACTCATGTAGGTAAAAAAAAAACCATAAATAAAAATGTAATACGTACGACCTTCTAAGCAATTTCTCTTCAGATTTCAAAAACCTCGCTTTTCAACACTTTGAGTCTCGTAATTTATTCTAGCACTTAACCTTAAAAATATATGTAGTTTGTGGTTATCTATAAAAATGTAAACCTTGGTTACTTGGTCAAGAATGACTTCCATCTCTCTCTATATATATATATGTATATTCAAAATGGGTTTCTTTCGTGGGATTTCGATGAACATATACACCATGCATATGCAACTGAATATGGTAAAGCAATGCTATATACAAAGAGCGTAAAGTTTGTGACCACGGATATTTATGTTACGTGGTCGGATTTGGTAGATTTACATAAATATATGTGAGGAGGCGTTTGCCAAAGTTGAATTTAACAAGCGAGAGTGTGTAAATGGTCCCCTTCACACACACACACACACACACACACACATATATATATATATATATATATGAACTGACAATGTGGTTCCCATATGGCCATGCCTCGTCCTCAGTCCTAAGATTTTCGGTTTTGGTTTTGCCATACACGACAAGATCCATTCCATACATACGTTTCTTTCGTCCAACAAAAAAAAAATGTTCTTTATTCCTCGAAAGAAAGTCAGAGTTCCTCAAACACACACACAGAGAAGAACTATATATATGTACATATATATGGTATTGCATATATGTGATCAGACTTTTGTACACCGAACTCGTGTGCGACATTGTATTTTTCATATTTAATTTACGTGTGAACATAATTTTAATATCAGAGAATGGATCTTATATAGGTTATAACTACCTAGAAACTTTTTTTTTAATATACTATGTATATGTCATTGTTATTTTCGGTACATTTTATCATTTGACCTAGGAAACCTAAGTTATATATGTGCCTCCAAGTCCATGACTTAACGGTTCTTATCAAAGTTCTATACATGGATACACACACATATATGTATATATATATACATATATATATATATATATATATATATATATATATATATATATATATATATATATATGTATATATATGTACATATATGTGTGTGTATCCATGTATAGAACTTTGATAAGAACCGTTAAGTCATGGACTTGGAGGCACATATATAACTTAGGTTTCCTAGGTCAAATGATAAAATGTACCGAAAATAACAATGACATAGATTTGAACAAATTTTTGTATAGGCAGGGCTTTAAACATATATATGTGTGTGCAGTAAGTAAGTAGTAGGAGTAGCCATAGGATGAGGCCAAGCCTCGCTTTTTCATATGGCTCACAGTGTAAACAGAGTGCACATAACAAAGTGACCAATTAAGACCGATACAAAGAAGAAGTTATGAAAGTGGTCATTGCCCTCATCTACAGTTTCCATTCTCTTCTCTCTTACCCCCACCCCCTTTAATTAACTTGCAGTTCCACGCCTCTCTCTCTCTCTCTCTCTCTCTCTCTCTCATTCAATTGCTACTCAACAAATTCAATATGAGAGAGAGAGGGAGAGAGGGAGAGAGGGAAGAATCTTTTCTGTGTTAAAAGTGGAGGGTTTGAACAGTTTGGTGATAAATAATGAGATCAAATTAAGTCACTGCAAGAAAAAAGGAAGCATAGAGCCCAAACTCTTGAAAGAGATGAGACATCACAGTACTCTTTTTATCTCTGTTAGATTTTTCTGTGTTTGGATTATTGCATTCATTAATGTAAAAGGATCCTTTTGATAACAACTTCTCATCCTTCTTTCTTTAGTTAAAAATTTCACCTCTTTTTAGCCAAGGAGGATCGGCAAGTCTTCTATACATATATATATAGATATGTATATGTATGTATGTATGTATGATGAATGTGCATGTGTTGTACATCACTCGTATAATATCCCGACCGACCGACTTTTATCTCATGATCATGTTTTTTATACTCTTATTTTTGTTACCTTTTTTTTTTTTAATTTTGTGATATTTTCGAACTATAATAGGCGAAGCCAAAAGGGTCGGCTTCATTGAAGTGAGATATCCGAGGGGATCTTCGAAATATATTATTTAATTAATTTTATTTTGTTAAAATCCCAATGAGCTATATAGATTATATACAGGCTTTAGACAGGGTTTGCATGCATGCATGCATCCCAAGGGAACGACAGAGCTAGCCCATTACATTACAACTCTTAGTTAAACGTAAAATTAATGAAATATTATAAACTACAAACTTTTTTTGTGTTTTTGGTATCTTTTAACAAAAAACTCTACATTTAATGTCTAAATGTTTTGGATCAATCCATGCTTCTCTTATACATCAAAATCACACAGCAAAATTCGATATATGTTATCTGGAAATAATGAATTTATAAATCATTTTAAGTTTTGATCTGATTTCTTGGAAAATTTGACAATATTTTATCAAAAACTAGCTATTTATTCCAATTATATATAAGATGATAACTTTCCATATCGGCTCAGCAGAGGAAACTAAGAATCATTTTGCTAATTTTATGAATTTTTTTTCCTTTTTGGTTCGTATATCTTGCAGCTTGACCATATGGTTAGGTTGACAGGTAGAAAATGGTAAAAAGAGCATGTGAAAAAGTAAAAGAGAGATGAATACAACAGAGTTATTACAGTGACTGCGTTTTACTATTCATTTCGCATTTCAGAATTCATTCATAATCAATGCTAAGACATTTAACTCCCCGCCGTTAAATCGTCAGTCCTCTCGTTTATGACCATCTCAAAACGTTTATATACTACACATCTATATATATAGACGCATACACACACATACATATATAGTTGTACGAGTACCACTACGTGTCGTTTTGAAGAGAAGAGACTGGGACGAGCTACAGTACGTGAATCGATAAACAGCGTGATGTTTATTGGCACTTCACAACCGACCCTCTCTGTGAATTAGCAGATTCTACCCAAGTTGGGCTAAACTCTTGTGGAGCCCACTTTTAAATGCCCAATCTTATATCGTAAATCAGTAGCCCATTTTCCTTTAAAAGACTAATCTATCGGTTTGGCTTTTAAACAAAATAAAGCTAAAATAATTATTTGTATTTTGTTTTTTAAAAAATTTATTCACGATGATATAATTGTTTTAAATCTAAAAATTGAATAAAGTGATATACCAAAGAACCGTAGGTCTGACCGTAACGGTAACGGTAGCCACTCGGCGAATGGAAATTGTTTACGCCGTAACGTTTCTCACGTGCGTGGGTCCACTTCCCGCGTGCCGTTCCTCTCCAAAGGCCAACCTTGAACTTACCATTATTTAACGGAGCCGTCATAACTCCGTGACGACTCCTCCTCTCCCAACTTCACGGTCTTCTCCTTCCGTCAATTCGTCTCTTCTTTCTTTCACCGTCGCTAACTAACGCCGTCGCTTCCGCCGCCTATAGCTAACCCTAACGACCCGTTAATGGCGTCTTGTGATGACGACTTTTCACTCCTAGGCGACGACCAGACTAACCCTAACCACCACCATCACCATCATCACCAGGGGCTTCACGCCCCCCCGAGGCGGATCGCCTTCTCCAAGCCTCCGAACCAGATCCACGCGCCGCAGCATCAGGGGAACGGCCATGCCGATGATGACAACGACATCGTCGTAGAGACTTCCGCTGCTTTTCACGGCGTGAATCCCTTCTCCGCCGACGAGAGTTCGAATCCGTACGATAACAACGCAGCCGCCGAAGGAGATCTCGATGCGAACAGATCCAGGGTCGGCGGTGTGCGCCTGGAGAAGCGGCAGATCCAGGAGGAACTCAGCGACGGAGGAACAGGGAACGACGGCGAGACGACTCCGTACGGAAGCCTCAAGCGGCCGAGGACGTCCTCTTCCTCCGCCGGCGAGTACAGGAAGGACAGGGAGGAGTGGAGCGACGCCGCGATCGCATACTTGTTGGACGCTTACTCGGAGAAGTTCACGCAGCTCAACAGAGGGAATCTGAGGGGAAGGGATTGGGAGGAGGTTGCTGCGGCGGTGAGCGAGAGGTGCGAGAAGCAGAGCAAGAGCGTGGAACAGTGTAAGAACAAGATCGATAATCTCAAGAAGAGGTATAAGCAGGAGAGGCACAGGATGAATAACGTAGGGATTTCAGCCAGTAGTCATTGGCCTTGGTTCAAGCAAATGGAGGAGATTGTGGGCAATTCCTTGTCCTCGAAAGGTGCATCCGACGATGATCGAACCGTCAGCTCGTCGGGGAATGCTGTTAAGCAGTCTCGAAGGTAAATGCATGCATGCTTGGATGGTCACTAGCCCTGTCACTGTTCTTTGCAGTTAGGTGCTTGATCACTTCACTATAGGGATGTGTTGGAAAGTGATTACTTGTAGACGCGTCTCTAGATTCAGTGGAATTGGTTCAATAATTCTGTGCGTTTGTCCGATGTTTTGATTGCTGACTTCTGTTTGATGAAATCGTATGAAAACACAAGAGATTTGTGATTGATTGAGAATGCAGCTGGGCTGGGAGATTTGATCAGATTATGAAGCCTTTTCACATTAGTTATTGATAAATATCAGAAATCGACGTTCTGGAGAGGTTAGTTTAGTTGTTAAAAGTTCGCCACAGAAACGGCTATTAGGTTTCTCTTTGCAGGGATGAAAACTGTGTAAGAGGAGGAGTAAAGGGTTTGAAACTAATGGTGTTCCGAAAATTTGATGATTTTATATTTCATTCTTGTAGAGACTCATGCCCCCAAGAAACCTTAAAAACATAGTAGTAATCTATAATGCTCATGGTTGGCTTCATAAGTTTAAACTAAAACAAGAGTACCTTATGTCTGTTCACATCGATCTTCTTTGTGCCATTGTTTTCTTTCTGTTATTGTTAGTAAAGCTAGACTACCTGACTTTACTTTGTTCTTGCCTGGTTTGATGGGCTTTCCCCTTCTTTCTTGTGAAATTAAAATGTTTATGTTTGTATTATTGTTGCAGGCATGCCCTCATAACATATAGTCCTAGAGTTCTGATAAATCACGCCAAATCCAAGTCAACGTCAAACCCTAGGTGGCGGAGAGTGGTTCTAAAAATCAGTGGTTCTGCTCTTGCTTGCACTGGTTCACACAACATCGATCCTAAGGTTGGTCCAGAATGTAATTTGCCGTGTTGTCTTGTGCTATTCCGGTCAATTTTAAACTTTCTTCTTGAATGTTAGATGGTCATGCTGATTGCAAGGGAAGTTGCAACAGCATGTAGCCTTGGTGTAGAGGTATCAGTCTGCTCTGGATTCAGTTTATGTTTTGTACCTTTTTCTGTCTGTTGGTATTCATAGTTTATATCTTCCAGGTGGCAGTAGTTGTTGGGAGCCGGAACCTCTTTTGCGGCGACACATGGATATCTTCTAATGGTTTAGATAGAACCACTGGTTATCATATCAGGTCATGTTTCTTTTCCTTATTTGGTCAAACATATCCTTCGCTGTCACCTTCATGTGATCACTGAATTGTGCTTTTTATAGTGGAGTTTCCATGGCACTAGATCAATGTACTATGATAAATGCAATTAGATGAATGCAGGCTTTGGAGTGACAATTAGCAGTTTTTGATCCGCTGTTGTAAAGTGATATACATCCAAATAAACGCATCATTTTCTGAAGTTCTCATACATATAGTTTCGTTGTGTTTCCATCAGTAAAAATTGCTCAGCATATTCAACAGATGTTGCTGCCTTTTTCTATGTACCTCTTCATCTTGAAACTGGGTTATCCTGAATTGCCCAGCTGCTGATATGTAACAGTACGATGGCGTCTGTAATGAATTCTATATTGCTTCAATCATCACTGGAGAAGATGGGGATTCAAGCCCGATTACAAACTGCATTCTCTGTTCAGGGGGTTGGAGAGATTTACAATCGTCAACGAGCCATCAGGCATCTAGAGAAGGGAAGAGTGGTAATATTTGGTGGCATTGGTGCTTCACTTGGAAATCCCCTCTTATCATCTGATGCAGCTGCAGTCCTCCGTGCTATAGAAAGTACGTATTGATATTACCCTCTCTCTTGGCCAAGTCATTTCCCATGTATCGTGGACTGTGACCATGGTTGATTGCTCGATGTTCTGATAATAATCTGCTCAAATTATCGCGTACCTTCAATGTCGTCTACGATCTAACTGTGGGCTATCGTTTTTTTTTTTGTTATCTTAATGCAAATTATTTAATTCTCTTTCAGTCAATGCGGAGGCAGTAGCCAAAGGAACCAATGTTGACAGTGTGTATGACTGCCATTCCCGGGACAGCAATGTGACGTTTGAGCACATAGGTTTTCAAGATTTGGCATTGAGAGGAGGGGGGGTTGCATCCATGGATGCCATGGCTCTCAACTTCTGCCAAGAGAACAGCCTTCCAGGTTTGCATTTTTCTCTCTTTTACGATTTGTTCGTTCAGCATATGAAATTCCGGAAACCTTCCCTCTCATAAGTCATAACCGATGATTCCTTGGCATAATTGGAAGCAACAAACACCTATTTTTCTGATATGAGTGGACATGTGTGTGTTATGACCTTTTGGTTAATACAAACAGTTGTGGTATTCGATTTTCTTGAGCCTGGGAACATCTCAAAGGCGTTATGCGGAGAGCAAGTGGGGACACTGATCGACGGAAGCGGAAGAGTGGGATGTAGATCAGATGGGATGTCGGTTTAATCAAAGAAAGGTATGTTGTATAACTACTACTAGTACTACCACTCGAGCTTGTTAGTAATTCGTATACGAGAATAGGCCCAGAAGAAGAGTCTTTTAGTTTTGAGATTATCAAGTCTTATAATCATCTGAGTATTACTTAAAATGTGTAAATTCTGGTCTGATCACATGTATGTAATGCCCTGAAATATGGTTGAATGCCCTGATGATGATGTGATGTAACAATCGTCATCTTGGGTTAAAATTTAGGTGGTGGTGTCCCTTTGTATTTTGCTTCTGCTGTCATAGGGAATGCTTTTTTTTAGTTCTTTTTTACCATGTATAGAGTTTTATTTTTATTTAGCAAAAAGCTAAGCAACTTATTTTTTTTATATATTTAAGAAAAAAGCATATTGAGTTTTTTAGCTTGAAAATACGGAATATCTAATATTTCTTTGAAAAAAATAAACTATGAAAAAAATCATTTTCTTTTTCTATATCTTTATGGTTCATATTTTTCAGCTACATAAACTATTTATATTTTTCTTTTAAAAAAATACTAAATTAAAAAAAAAAAGTATTAACGACCGAGATCCGTACTAAAAATGAATGAAGAATATTGAGAATTATATATGAATTTGCTATTTAGATATAATTATATAGTTCATTAAAAAAATTAATTAAATTTAAATAGCTTATAAAAGTAATAGAAAAAGAATATAAACAACCTGATTTAACAAATATTAATATAAAAAATTGAAGTAACTATTAGTTTTTAAAATTTTAAAATAATATAATGAAACCAGAATTTGTTATGTAGTTACTTGTGATCTGCCTCCAAAACGGACTTCCCATTTCAATGCGTCAATGTACATTTGATTCGAATCACTTCTTTAACGCAGTTAATTATAAGATAACGGTCTAATATGCGTTCAACTACATTAAATTACCAATCACATGCATACAAACTCAAATGTTCGTATTTATAAGCAATACGAAGGGTTAGGTGCATGCATTACATGAATTGCGCCATTCTATTAATTGCAACGGTAACATAATTAACTCTTTTCCTCCTGCCCTTAGTAATTAATTTCATTGGATCCTTAATATAACTGCAACAACATCGGTCCATAGCTAAACAGCAAATCTTCACTATGAGATTATGTGGCCCATTACCATATAGAAAAATCATCATTTTTCCTGTTTTTAGTTTCCTTTCCGTTGGGTTTATAATGATTTTTGCTAAAGAAACCGATGGGCCCATTTCATCCATTCGCTTTATAACATACCAGTCATCGAATTCCATGTTTTGAGATAGACTCGACCATAGATTAATTCCTCGCGGTAACACGTTAATCCAAATTTCGAATATTTAGACGTTCTTATTGAAATCTTGGAAAGAAATCAAATGATGGAAACAAATAGAAAACACAGTAACAAAATTAAACCCAAGTAAATTCAATTTAGGTCAAACCAACTTAAACCAGATAATATATTTTTAATAGTTCTGATAATCATTTAATATCTTAGGAATAATCGGATAAAAACGCCTACATTTTACTATTCGAACTGCAAAATATTTTCCACATCGATCCTGTATAGAAAATCCAACAATAACGTGCAATGAGATCATAGGTAACAACAAAATCAGATGGACCGCATCCTATATATATATGTGTATATATATGCGTGTGAAAAGGGTCTGGTCAATGCTTCATAAGTATGCTACATATTGTTTCAGAGACAAAGTCATGAAGCATTACTGAACAGACAGTGACAAGTAGGTGAGAAGTAGAGTGATGAACACTTTGGTCTCCAAGGCAAAGTTGTGGTGTCTCCTTCGCCATAGGCCTTTTCTCCCGTATACGTATCCGCGTATAGATATACGTATATACATGTATGTATACATATGGGAGAGACAGAGAGTTTAAGTGGGGAAGTAGATGGGATATCAAATCTGTATGAAAGGTAGACATTGGATCCCACTAGCGTGTGTGTTTGTTTCTTTTATTCCAAAATACACTTGTGGAGCAATTGAGTGATGCTTTGAAATTTTTGTTTTGTTTAGGTATATAAAATAAATGAGAATCCATTGTACTTGTTGTGTAAAATAAAATAAAATACAAATTCTTTCTTCGTGTAAGGGAAATTTATTAATAATGACCCTCTTATTCATGGTATAATATCATACAATGCAACTGAAATATATATATGATTTTAAATAGAAATTGTTTTAATAATTAAGAACGTATTTTTTTATAAAAAAAAAAGTTGTAATATTTTTATTATACACAATTTTTATTTTGGAATTTAATATATATATATTTGCGCCAAAATCTAAGTCGGTTTTAATTAACCGGAGGATGTTTCTAGTAGTCTAGGTCTCGCTTATGTCACCAATTGGACAAAAAAAATATTTATAAACTCTATATCCATGATTGATGCCAAAAAAAACATGAGAATCATAACATGATATGCATTACCTACTTAGATTTAGTCTACGAGTCATCGTATTATAATATATGTGCAATATGGTATCGGAATATATGGCTTTTTAAAAGTTAAATAAAAAGAAAAAAAATCGTCTGCCATTGGTTTAATATTTCTTCATCATTTTCATTTTTTTTAAACAAAGAATCATGTAAAGAGCTTACATTAAAAAAAAGGAAACATATTTAAATAAAATAGAAAAATGCCCGCAATTTATATTATAAATAAGTTAAGATTTTCATAATTGATTGATTTCAATCCCCATTTGTCCATATCTTATTCACTAACAACTTACGACCTTTATGCATTTTTTTTTTGGTCAAAATTATCTAACAAATGCTTTTATTTTAGAATATTTTATGTGCATTGTTAAACCGAGACGATGGTTAAAATTAAAAATGAGAATCGGTGTTATAAAGATATTTTATTTTATTATTTTTCATTATATTAATCTAGATAATAAATGGAATGGGCTGTTAAAAAAGGCTAAAACTAAATGATTTAACTTGATCAACAGAGTATATTTACACAGTACTGTTGAAATGTGATTTGGAATTCGGCCCAAAATACTCAATTATAAAAAGAATACGATTAGTATAATTAGAGGTTAAATTGAAAATAAATGACCTGGAAATTAGTTTTACATATATATATGTTGAAATAACAATATAATACTGGGAGGGGAATCCCCCCATCTCTGGTGGTTTGAGAGTCCCCTTCTTGTAAACGAGGTCGTGGGTTCAACACCCAAAGTATGGAGAATCCCCTCCTTCCACCTTCGGGTGTTTCACATTCCACGTGTGTGTTGCAGGGTCGTGCGCGTGGGTCGGGATTAGTCTGAGCCTTTGGGTTTGGGATCACCCGATTATAAAAAAACAATATAATACCGGGTTTGATTGTAGAATTAATGGATGCTTTGCATGTATCCATGACATAGGACTTTTAATACCAAAAATTACTAAATTTTATATCACAAATTCTTAAAAAATGTCCGATCATTAAGGCCTTGCATTTTGGTGAATTAAATTCCTACTGATACATGATGAGAAAATCATGTAAACAAATGATGCGAAAATTATTCTAATACGAAAATCAGTAATTCGGTTCATATATATTTATATAATTCAGTAACCCGACATAGCTATAGGTATCGTACAATAATAATAATTGATTTTATTTGATCCTGATAGTAATTATACACTTGATTAATTTCTCTAAACCCGCAATTTAAAGTTACACGAAATTACTAGGAAATTTACATATACGTTGTAAGTTATATGGCTAAGCAAAGTGTGAAGAAGAACACGTGACACTACGGCTCTACTACATTATGTTTACTTGCATGAGACTGCATGTGCATGTGCATGTGACATGCACCATTGGACTTCAAGTTATTATGATAATATATAGCGTGTGTACAACAAATTTTTTTAAAAATGTCATCATATATACGTGTTTCACATACGAAGAAATCAGAAAAAAAAAAGCGACAAGACAATGATACTAGGATTTGGCCCGACTTTTTTTTTATAATATGTGTTTTGCCAAGAGTAGGATTTGAACCTGGGTGGAACATTCTTTGCGCATACTCACTTACCAGTTGAGCCAACCACTCTTGGCCCGACATTATATATATGTATATATATGTTATTCTTAAGATGTGATTAAATAGTTTTGTAATAACTAACATAGTTTGTTATATTTTAATTTATAAAAATGTGAACGATAGGGGATTTTTAATTTACATATTGTATATTTGTTGTCGATCGGTACGTGCTCTCGGATCACATGCTAGATTATGGACTTGACTTTGTCAACTTACACAAAAAAAAAAAATTAAACACGACATTTTTATGTATGATGGAGAAAATTTGCATATATATCTTATGGCTTATGTTTTGTATTGGTATTTTTGAAATTATTTTTATTATTTTATATATATTTATATATGGACGAATTTATTTTGTAACCAGAAGAATTTTATACTCCCAAGAAATTTCTGAGACACAATTATAAATATTAGAAAAACACTTGAAAAAAGCAAAATATTGCCACCAACTTTTTTTAACTCATTATTGTGTGTATATATATGTAGACCAAATTCACATATATGTATATATAATATTAATGAATAGCTGTATAAATACTCGATATGGGTGGTAAAACCTTCATCAAATTGATTAAAATTTATTATAGTGATAGGTTTAATTTTGAATATTTTTATTGAAAGAATTCTACTAAAGACTTTTAATTCAAATTGTAAGGTAATTAGTTGTTTTATTAAGTAGACGCGAATTGATTACCATCATCTAACGGTCAACGTCAACCGGTGGCGAGTCCATTCTTTCCAGCTAATCTATATATGTATTTCATATCATATATTACCGTTCAAAACATTCCGATCCATGTTTATTTTTTTTTACCGTTGTTGTAATAATAATAATAATAATAATAATAATAATAATAATAATGTTTTTCTTTGTGTGTCTTAATAGGTATTGAAAAGAAAGATAATGAAAAATTCAAAACATAGCCAAACTAATAATTAAGTCGTTCTATATAAAATTGTTTTCGATCGGATCTTTTTCTTTCTCTAAATACTGTCTATCTAATTACTACTATTAATTAACAAATAATATATAAGTTTCGGCCACCAAAAAAAAAACAGCACTGTATAATTTTGACGGAAGAATTATAAAATAAGATAATATATATTTTTTCCGCACGATATAAACACGAGAAAACAGTCTCATGAAATGCGAGATTTGATTTAGTCCGTACAACTGATTCGAGTCATAGAAAATTGAATCATTCTATTCCGACGAACAGTGTGGGTATAAAATTCATTGAACCGTCGGTGCAGATTTGTTGATCATTAAATAATAATAATAATACTAATAAAAAACTCTAAAAATGCTGCATAATTAGTTCGTTTTTTAAATATTTAATTTTATGGTTTTGTCTTAGATTAACTTTATGGTTTCATAATTCTACAAAACTTTTCATTTGCCCGTGTTGCTTTTAATTATCATGAACGACGTATAGAAATAGAACGTTGATAAATATATTATATTATCGTTTTATACCAATTAGATTTAAAAAATATTTTAAGGATTGTGTATTTTAAACAAAATTAATTTTTTTCTTTTGTTAGCAGTTGTCATATTATAATCGGTATTATTATTATTATTATTACTACTACTAAAGAAGATGTACCGCTTGGTCAAACAATAAAAACGAACGCTGGCCGTGTTTAAAAAATGATTATAAAATTTAATATTAATAATTATTACAACGGAAGGTGGCACAATCTGCGTGGCCTTGGGCAGCCCCTAAATAAAACAATAATAACAAATTGCAAATATTAACTCCTGCCTTTGTGAGAAAATAAAATTAAACTATATTTTTTTTATATTATCATAATACATATTTTATTTTTAAAAATAATTTGTCTAATACAGGAAAGGCTTTATATGAGGCATTTCTCTGTCTCTCTCTCACTTCATTTTTTTCTGTTCCCTTTCTCTTTCGCCTTTTCTTTCTTCCCTTCAAAACATCTTCTCCCTCCTGAGTTCTTCCTCTGTCACCAAACCCACCATAACCCAAAACAAGAAAACAAAAAGAACAAAGATTTCGTTCTTTGTTTGATTTCCAGACAATCTGGGATTCGACATAAGACAGGATTTATGTAAAAAAAACAGTCCTGTCTTTTTTTTCTGGGTAATTTTGGTTCGAATCGCGAAAAGGGTCATTCTCGTTCTCGTTCCTTTTTTGTGTAGCCGTAGGTTCTGCAGAAACCACGAGCTACATACATTGCTGCAAGAAAATTTGTCTGCCACTCGCATTTCCTCTTGCGTGTCTCCCAAGAAAATCCCTGACAACGCATTCCGATCTTGGGTTCTTGTTCTTCGTCTTCCTCCACTGTTTCGCCGGAATAAGTTCTGAGAACTCGTTAGAGATGGATCAGGTTTATTCCGGGTCGGTGTACAGAGACGGCATTACTGCGCAGGTCTCGATGCTTTGGGATCAGATGAGGACTCCATTGGTCGCTCCATTGCTGAGACTCGCGGTTTATGTGTGTTTGGCGATGTCTGTGATGCTCTTCGTCGAGAGGGTTTACATGGGAATCGTCATATCTCTCCTGAAGCTCTTCGGCCGTAAACCAGAGAAGCGTTACAAATGGGAGCCGATGAAGGACGACATCGAGCTCGGAGACTCGGCTTATCCTGTGGTTCTTGTCCAAATCCCAATGTATAATGAACGAGAGGTGAACACGAAAAAGACAAAAAGTTCTTTTTTTTCGTTCGCGGTTAATGCAAAAGCTTGATGTCAGGATCTCTGTGTTTTGGTTAACGTAGGTTTATCAGCTCTCGATCGGTGCTGCTTGCGGGCTCTCATGGCCGTCCGATCGGATCATCATTCAAGTTCTCGACGATTCCACTGATCCAACAATCAAAGTAGGCTCCTTTCTTCTTCCTCTCATGAACCCAGACACCCAATTGGGATTCCGTCAAGATTCGATTCCACGAGCTCCAAGATTTGGAATTCTACCAAATCTAAGACATGGGTTTTACAAAAGATTAAGTTTTGCGAGGTGGGTTGTACCTAAAACCTCGGATTGATGGGTAAAACGTACGTATCGCAGGATCTGGTGGAGATGGAGTGTCAGAGATGGGCAAGCAAAGGGGTGAACATAAAGTACGAGGTGAGGGACAACAGGAAAGGGTACAAGGCAGGGGCTTTGAAGGAAGGGATGAAGAAGAGCTACGTAAAGAGCTGCGATTACGTCGCGATCTTCGACGCAGATTTCCAACCAGAACCCGATTTCCTGTGGAGAACCATACCTTTCCTCGTCCACAACCCCAGTCTCGCCCTCGTTCAAGCTCGTTGGAAGTTCGGTAATTTCCCTATCTCTACACTTATTCATATTATAATCTCTCTCTAATTGGTTCAATTTGTTTGTCTGATTGATATATGGAGAAAAAAAATATAAAGCGTAACGTGCAAATATTATTACCTAATGTATGATTTGTTAATGTGCATAATTACAAACCAAAACTCTAGATTAAAATTACGGTTATAGATCATTCAATCGGATAAATTTTCCCAAATTCTAATAGTTTTCTCTGACAATCACAAGTCATGATTGATACTTTTTTCTTGTGCTAATCACAACATAAAAGAAGTTAATGTTATTAGATTAGCATTGAATATACATATATACACGCACGTATATATATATAATGTGTAGTATTTTACAAGGTACTTTTAATGATTTTCTTTGAAGAATGATTGTATTTTCTTGATCATATAGAGGAGATTGCGACCCTTTAATAAATGATTAATGTATAATGTCCGAAATTACACACGAAAGAAAAAGAAAAACATAGACAGAAGAAGCTATTTACAAGAACTGTCGGTGGGTTTATGGGGTGACGTCAGGTGGAGCCCACCTCCCGAATCTTAAAGCGGGCTTGTCCTCTTGCGTCCAAGCTTCACTCTGTGTTTGTTTGTCTTTAAAACGTCTAACTACTCTCATAATTGGAACTCTGCCCGTATAATATTATATTAATACTTTTTATCTATAAATATTATAATGTTTATGTTGAATAATATAAAGGTCAACAATTTTCCACATCAGTTATACTTCTAGAAGAGGTAAGCGGGGTATAACGATTTATTTTCTTTTTTTTTTCACGACGATTTATTTTCTTTTCATATCATATATATATTGTTATTTTCTAAAAATAGCACAGTTTTCCTCCCTTTGACCGCCATTCAGTGATCACTTCCGCCAGGAAAAGCTGCACGTAATTGAAAACCACAATGATAATAATAAATTAGAAAACCTGTATGCAACAGTATACGTATATCTATAATTTATAATAGAAAGGATAGGAGAATATATAATATATTTTCCAATATGTGTGTCTGGCAAATGTCGCACATATCGGGAAGAGAGAGAGAGGGGTTTGATTGTCTTTTAGGAATAAAGATAGGGGTAGATTTGTCTTTTTGTTGTGAGAGGTTCCACGTGTACAGTGTATACTCCCTAGCATATGCATGTGCATGTCTTTAATAATGGACCTCGTGCTTCTATTGTCTCTGTCACCTCCCCCTCATAGCACTCACTTTTCTTCATAGCACATATACGATATATATATATATATATATGTTTCTTTAGAAATATTTTAAAATTTATTTTCTGTATGATTAGATCAATAATGGACACATTTTTAATTGATTTATAACCGAAAAACTACAAAATAAGAGTTTTTCTTTGGTGATCCGACATGTAAATCTTTGGATTGATCGGATCTAGTTGAGCTGAGTAGTTGGAGTTTGATATCATATTTATGAAATGGAAATTCCATAATACAAATTTCGTCAAGTGTTGGAAACATTCTAACTTACAATACTATTTAAAATATATTTTTTATGCAGATAGAATTTATCATGCACTAAATTTAATAATAAAAATATTGGCATGAATTTAACTAAATAATTATAATTAAGTAAAACAAATTCAAATGAATTGGGTTGTATAAATATATTAACCTTTCTGTATTGAATTAAATGCCAATTGATATACTTTTTATTTTGCAGTGAATTCGGACGAATGCTTGATGACACGAATGCAAGAGATATCTTTGGATTACCATTTCACAGTCGAGCAAGAAGTTGGATCATCTACTTATGCATTCTTTGGATTCAACGGTAATACATATATATTCATGAAACGCCGATATTTTTATTTGACGAGTGTGTGTATAAATATTTTGGGTCCAAATGAACGCTTATAAACATTTGGGGCAAATGTGGGAAAATGTAAAAATGCAGGGACTGCGGGGGTATGGAGAATATCAGCACTAAACGAAGCAGGAGGGTGGAAGGACAGAACAACAGTGGAAGACATGGACTTGGCTGTTCGAGCAAGCCTCAAGGGGTGGAAGTTCTTGTACCTTGGCTCTTTAAAGGTATCACTTGTATATATATATATATATATATATATATATATATATATAATATGTTTATACGTATGTATATATATATGTGTGTATATACTTATATTGATTAATGTGTATATATATATATAGGTAAAGAATGAGTTGCCAAGCACGTTTAAGGCGTATAGGTACCAACAGCACAGGTGGTCTTGTGGGCCTGCCAATCTATTCAGGAAAATGCTCTTCGAAATTATCACCAACAAGGTATTATCTATTATACACTCCATATATAAACCCTCCGGTTCGGTTAAGAAAAGTCGAAACCGGACAGATCCCGGTTCTTGGTTTCCGGTTAACCATAAAGCTTATAATTTCCATGTATGTGTGTGCGCAGAATGTGAGTGTATGGAAGAAAGTGCATGTGATATACAGTTTCTTCGTGGTGAGAAAGATAGTGGCACACATAGTGACGTTTATATTCTACTGCGTGGTATTGCCGGCGACGGTTCTGGTGCCGGAGGTCACCGTTCCCAAATGGGGAGCTGTATATATTCCTTCCATCATCACCCTCCTCAACGCCATCGGCACTCCCAGGTCGCTGCATCTCCTGGTGTTCTGGATCATGTTCGAGAACGTCATGTCTCTGCACAGAACCAAGGCGACGTTCATTGGATTACTCGAAGCCGGCAGAGTTAACGAGTGGATCGTCACCGAGAAACTCGGAGACGCCCTTAAATCCAAAGTCAAGTCTCCTCATCCTAAGAAACCTCGCTTCAGATTCGGGGAAAGGTACGTACATTTCTATATATACACATATATGTACTTGTTGTTCTTAATTATATATATATATATATATATATATATACATACACGCTTGTTTTTTGTTGTTGTTGTGGGCAGGATCCATGTACTGGAAGTTGGGGTGGGGATGTATCTGTTCATTGTGGGATGCTGTGATGTGATGTTAGGGAAGAACCGCTACTATCTCTACTTATTCGGACAATCCTTTGCTTTCTTCGTCATGGGCTTTGGCCTTGTCGGAACCTTCGTCCCTCACAGTTGATGGCAAATGCAGGAGTTTTAAAAAGAATGAAATGATGCTCCATCATACGATACTTTCTTTCCTCTTTTTGTTGATTTCTCGTTTTGAATTTTTTTTTTTTGGTGTGTGTGTGAATAGAGAGGATGTGATATGTTACATGTGGATGAAAGGGTATAACAGGAAAGAGGAGAGAATTTTTGAAGGGAGTTGAATTAGAACCCTCTGACTGACTCAGAGGGTTTTACATTGCTAGATACGAGTAACGAAGAACACATTTCTGTTGGGTTTGGTTTGATTTTTTTTTTAATCAATCTCTGTATCATTGTTGCTTTTGAATGAAAAAAAACGACGATTCACAAATCCCATAAGTCTTGACACTAATTGATATATATATATATATAAATTTCAAAATCATAGTTTTAGATTTGGTGAGATGTTCATTCTCTGGTACGCGGTGTAGCGGATGATGCGTGCTCCGTCATTGGCGATATCTTATTGGGCCGGATTTTGAATTGGGCCCAATATAGAATACATAATCTTTCACTATTTTGTAAGCCCAAAATTAAGCGTTGGGTTAAAAAATTAAAATGGTTCACGCTCATTTCCGAAACAATGTAGTAAGAGGTTTTGTTTTTAATGGAAGGACATACCAATACTAAAAATATTAATTCTAAAATAATTTTTTTTATTGTATTATGATTTTTAGACTTAATTAATTTAGTTTTAAAAAATCATAACCATTTTTTACATTAGATGGGATTTGATGCAATTTAATTATATTCGATTATATATAAAACACTACATGCAATATGTAATATGAAATAGGAAATCAATTGAGTTATTTTTTTTGGGGTAATTTAACATAATATTAAACTACTGAAATGATTGGTGAGTATATTCTATAATACACGTTTTGAGTGATGTTTTATAAGAAATGTTGTATATAACGTAATCAAACTATTGAAATTTGATGTTTTTTTTTTTTTTGATTATGTGATTGTCCCGGTGGGGTTCGAACCTGGGACGTGGAGAAGCACTTTGTGCTCCCACGCCACCAGACCACCACGGCGGGACATATTTGATGTTGGTATGGAAATTGGACCATATTCCATTCAATTTCGACATCAAACTTTATTTATAAAATCATATAACAATGACCAAACCAATACCCCACAATGGTTCAGCTGTTTTTGGAATGAAAGGGAACAAACGGAGAGAGAGATAGAAGATGAGGGAGTGGGTGTGCATACATGCAAATTAGGGGTGGACGTTTCGGAAAACGGTTTGGGTTCGGGACGAGAATTGATCGGTTTGGTTCTTTCGGTTTTACAAAAATAGGTACCAATCGGTTTTTATATTGTATTTGATTCGGTTCGGTTTCGGTATCGGTTCGGTTCTATTCCGGATTTTATTAAAAAAAGTATAGATTTCCTTTAAAAATATTCGGTTTTTCGGGATTCTTAAAGTTCAATTCGGTTCTTTAAAAATGGTACCGTTCGTGAATTAAAAACGGTTTAGAATCATCAAAAATACCGTTTTTTCGGTTCGGTTCGGTTCTTCAAAAGCCTGGCCCTAATGCAAATGGAGAGTTAAAAAAAAAGTGGACGGAGGTGTAATACAGACGCGGGGAGAGGCGCGTGAGGAATGTGGAGAGCCCATCCAGATACAGACTCTTGGACCGAAATAGAAAAAGAGCCCGTTCCCTCTCACTTTCCCTGCCCTAATTATTTTTCCCCTGATTAAACCCAACAATGAACAAAATTAAAGGAAAAATTAATTTGAAAAAATTGTATATATTACACTAATTTTTAAAATTTTTATTTTAATAATATAGCATTCGAATTTCCAATATAAACCCGTAAAATAATAAAATAAAATATTACAATTTTGTACTACCAAAACCTTTTTACAATAATTGACGGTGGGGATTATTGTTCAATCAAACCCTAACCTAAACAAGAAAGATCAAAGCTTTTAACCAAATCCAAATTATAAAATAATAGCAGTATTTGAATAGATTTTTTTTTTCAAATTTTCCTAAACATTAACTTTGAAAATTTTAAAAATAAAAAATTAATGTTTTTTAAATTTTTACTAGTTTTGTATACCACATTAATTTATAGGCATTTTTTGGCTTCACTCGAATACTTGATATAATGTGATTATGCTTGTTCACATGTCCATCGGCTCGGATACAAAATGTTTATATTTTTTGTTCAATAAGTTAAAGTTTAAACACGAAATAATTGTGACTTAAATTTAATATAATTTTCTGATGGATTTTTTCTATATTTTATTTTTATAATGAACAATAACAATTGCCAGATAATATTTTCCCCAATATACAAATCTCCGTTATTCACAACAATCTGATTTTTGTAATTGTATAAAGTTTTCTTTTCTTTCATTTTAAAATTTTACAAGGCGTGCAAAAATAAATAAATAATATGATGTAAAAGTTTCCTTAGTAGGGGAAACGTAGGAGGAATGTGACGCATTTATTACGATTCTCACATCAACAGGAAACGGCTCAGAGAGAGAGAGACAGAGATCGGTGAACTTCTTCAGCAATGGCGGGTTCTAGGGTTTGTGAGGTTTTATGATCATACTGAGTCTCATCTGAATCGGAATCTTCCTCAGAAATGTCCGGCAGAAGATCCAATTACACTTTGCTCAGCCAATTTCCCGACGACCCGGTCTCCATCTCCGTCACCGGAGCTCCACCTCCGCACTATGACTCCTTATCGAGCGATAACAGGAGCGCGACCACCAACAACAGCGGAAACAACAGCAAAACCAAGGCGGATAGAGCTGGATTCGATTGGGATCCCAATGGCGGTGATCACAGATCGAGTGCCCAGACGAATCGGGTTGTGAATCTTTATTCTTCGTCTCTCGGCTTACAGAGGCAATCTAGCGGGAGCAGCTTCGGAGAGAGCTCCTTGTCCGGTGATTACTATATGCCCACGCTTTTGTCTAACGAGATCGATTCGTTTGGATATGCCCAAGATGACGCTTTTAGGCTCGGTTTCGCCGGCGGTGGAGGAGATTTGAGGGTAAAGATGGCGGCGGAGTCCAACGGAGGTTCATCTTCAGGGAAGAGCTGGGCGCAGCAGACGGAGGAGAGCTACCAGCTGCAATTGGCATTGGCTCTGCGGCTTTCATCGGAGGCCACTTGCGCCGACGATCCGAACTTTCTCGATCCGGTGCCGGATGAGTCTGCTGTTCGGACTTCGCCTAGTTCAGCTGTAACTGTCTCTCATCGCTTCTGGGTAGGGTGTTAATTGCTTCATTTCTTTCCTGTTTTAGGTCATTCGTGTTTTGCTGAATGCATGCGGGAGATTATGCTATAGTTGGTAAAGAACTAATGTAGAGGATTTATTGAACAGTTGAACTTGCTCTATGGATATGGATATGGTCATGTTCGTTTAGGGCTTTTAATGTTAGATCCCTTAAACCAAGTCCCGTAATTTGGAGAGGTATAGAGCACCAAGAGGCACCAAGAGTCAGGGAAATTTCCGGGTTAAGTTAATATCGCTTGAGTGCCAGATTATGCGATGCTTTAGCAGTTATCAAACGCTTATAGGAGAAGAATCACTACCACGATCTTTCTGCTGTAGAGTTGCTCTATGTTTTTATTCGATTTGCGTGTGCATATAAATATTTCTAGGCTCAACATGCAGAAGTTCGTCTTTTTATTTAGCAAACAAACCGTAAATTCCAATTGTGTAAAACGAATAATTCGTAGTGAGAATCAGGTTTCTTTTTCCCATTTGTTGCATATTAGCCTATTACCATATTAGTTTCCTTAGAAGTGGTGTCATACACTTTGTGGAAAAAAATCTTACATTGATTTGAGATGCGTTGCTTGCTATGGATGGATCACTATGTTCTGAAACACATAGCCATTTGTGTTGGGATTATGTCTATATTGCTGGGAACATTTAATGTAGTGCTCAATAGGAAGGTTGTGAGTGAATCTCTGCGAGAGCTGTGAAATCAAATGGCTTATCATAATGGTAAAAAGACTTAGCTATTTTGGTGTATAAGCTAATGGTAACTGTGTTGAAAACATCCAACTGATCCTGTGTTCCTCGAACAGTGGGTGACGGGGAAAAAATTAGAAAAATTGCACGTCTTTCCAGTTGAGTCTGAGAGTTAAGAAGATTGAATAAAAATCGTAAATAAAGTGTGAGATGTATTTGTTTTATGCATTTTGACATCTGATTCTCCTGCCTATTGCATCAGGTCAATGGCTGTCTATCATACTTTGACAAAGTTCCTGATGGATTTTATACGATTCATGGACTGGATCCATATATTTGGACCTTGTGCATTGATCTACATGAGAGTGGTCGTATTCCTTCAATTGAATCACTAAGGTCTGTGGAGTCCGGTGACGACTCTTTACTTGAAGTGATCTTAGTTGATCGGCGTAGTGATCCAAGCTTCAAGGAACTGCACAATAGAGCTCACAACATATCTTGTAGCTGCATAACCACAAAAGAGGTTGTCGATCAGCTGGCAAAGCTTGTCTGCAATCGCATGGGGTTTGTACTCTCTGACGTCTCATAGTTTATCATAACTAGTTTTTTATTCTTTTTCTTTCCATTTTAATTTCTTTGTTATCTTAATTTCTTCCTTTTTCAGGGGTCCAGGTCCCACAGGAGAAGAGGAATTGGTTCCCATATGGAGAGACTGCATTGATGGTCTAAAAGAATGCTTTAAACTGGTGGTTCCCTTAGGTAGCCTCTCTGTGGGCCTCTGCAGACATCGAGCTTTACTCTTCAAAGTGAGGTCCCAACTTTGATGCTACTGCCATGATGTTTAAGGCATTCATTTTAAGTGAACATTGAATTCAATGTCTTCGTTAGTCTGTGTGGATGATAGTTACAAAACCTTCACGTCTTTGAAGAAAATCATAAGAGATTAGTGTTTATTGTCCAGAGAAGAAGTTATTTGTAATTATAATTGTTAGTTCCCTTTTTATGTAGTGGAATGTAAACAGAGTGTGCTATGCTTACCATGCGATGCATGCAGGTGTTGGCTGACACAATTGATTTACCCTGTCGAATTGCAAAGGGCTGCAAATATTGTAAAAGAGACGATGCTGCATCATGTCTTGTCCGATTTGGGCTTGATAGGTATGGTTACAAGTGATTCCTATGGTGCCTTGCCATCTTATCTATTTACATGTGTTTTGCCCTGTTACAACATGTTCTCATTCCTCGAATCAAACACCCAAATATTTTGTTACAACAAAAGTTTGTTGACACCCTCTAAATCCATTGATTCCAGGGAATATCTGGTTGACTTAGTAGGGAAACCAGGTCAACTATGGGAGCCAGACTCCTTGCTAAATGGCCCCTCATCCATTTCAATTTCTTCACCATTGCGATTTCCACGACCAAGGCCAGTTGAACCTGTCGTTGATTTCAGGTCTCTGGCCAAACAGTATTTTGCAGACAGCCAGTCGCTTAATATTGTTTTTGATCCTGCTTCAGGTACTTCCAACCGTAGTGACATTGGTTGCTTAACCGCATGCTGCATTGCTGCTTATGTAGTATTTTTTTCCATGATGTTCGTTCTTACAACACTAAAGTTGACCTGGTTGAACTGCTTTGAACATAATAATTCTGGCGCAGATATGCTATTTAAGGCATTTACTGGAGAGAGACAGCTTTCTCGATGATTGAACAAAACCTGTGCACATTCACCATGAATGGTTGCTTGTGCAGAAAAATTTCATGTCAATATACGAGGATACTCTTTTTGATGATAATATCACGTACATGCAACTCGTTTCTACTCATACTACAAGATTATGTTGAAACTTTACTTCTCTATATGCTCATTCGCATGCGAGGGTTCATAATTTGAACGAATACGTCAAAGCATCAGTAGGATCCGTTCTAGGGGTTTTTAGCTGCATGTGGTTAAATTACAATATAACAGTCACGATATGTTTGTTAGGCATTGGAATTGGATGTTATATCTTCTGAGACGCATGCTTCTCGGCTGTTTGCTCCAAAACTGTGTCATTCCTTTATGTTACTTGTATTGTCATTTATGAGGCTTGTCTTCCTGATTTTTATTTCTGGTTTTATTGTCACAGATGATCTAGGATTTCCAATGTATCATAGACAACATGATAATATCGGTGGAGAGCAGAATGACCTTGCACAATTGCCCGAAAATATTGGTGGTTCTTTGCTGCTCAGCGCTAATGACCCTCCGCAGAACAATATGCGTGCACCAAATCAAGTACAAGCAGCAGTGTCTTCAATTAATGTGCCACCAGTCTGTCAGTCTGTTCCTTCTAGGCAAAACAGGGAACTTGGACTTGATGTTGATGACTTGGACATCCCATGGAGTGATCTTGTTTTAAAAGAGAGAATTGGATCAGGTATTATCGAGATATTGGATGCTGAACTTCCACATTGAATAAAAACTCTGATTTTGTTATCAAGAAAGAAGGAACAATACATCTGCTGTCCACGTTGGAAAATATTTTCTTATCGGGGGTTTTTGGATTGTCTTTAGTCTATGTCTTGGTCATTTATGTTTCCTCTGTTGTGCTTTCAGGTTCCTTTGGCACTGTCCACCGTGCTGAGTGGCATGGCTCGGTAAGAATATACTTTATGTGCTTGTGACATACCTTATATGCTTGTTTATATGGAGCGACTTGTTAAATTCTTTCCCCACCTCTATAAGCCTGGTTACTTATTTTGGGGTTGGTCGCTGTGTTTGTTGAAACAGGGAAATCATTTGATATGCTCATTGAGCCATAAGTTTGTATATGTGTGTGTGTGTATATATATATATTAATGCTAGAAAATTTCAGAAATTGATGATTGCTATATGATTACCATTTACAGGATGTTGCTGTGAAGATTCTCATGGAGCAAGACTTTCATGCTGAGCGCGTCAATGAGTTCTTGAGAGAGGTCCACAACTGAAAATTTCTCTCTCCCTTCCCCTCTCTCTCTCTTTTGGTGTTGTGATAACCTCCATAATCTTGATTTCTATTTACATGGTAGGTTGCAATAATGAAACGCCTCCGGCATCCTAACATTGTTCTCTTCATGGGTGCTGTCACTCAACCTCCAAACTTGTCCATAGTGACAGAATATCTGTCAAGGTTCCTGATTGTCATCCTTTATGTGCTTGTTGTCTAGTTTCCTTGGCATGCACTTGATTTTGAAGTTGATTTTGAGTTACACTATTGCTAATGGAATTGCAACATTTTCCTTTATGCCCATTCTAAATTACAGGGGCAGTTTGTATAGGCTGTTGCATAAAAGTGGGGGAAGAGAGCAATTGGACGAGAGACGTCGGTTGAGTATGGCATATGATGTTGTATGTCTTGTCTTTCTTTGCCCAAGTTGGATATGCAAATGTTTAGGAGGGTGAAAAGAAATTTATTCCTTTGTGAACTTTGCCGATTTCTTTTTTGTCCACAAGTGGCTAAATTGTGAATATAAACCTTTTCTCTTCCTCTCTTTTGGCAGGCTAAAGGGATGAATTATCTCCATAATCGCAACCCTCCCATCGTGCATAGAGATCTAAAATCACCGAATCTGTTGGTTGACAAGAAATTCACCGTCAAGGTTTGATCTTAATTTTTTTAACATCATATTTTCAGCTGTCTTGCTTTTACCATAACGTCTCTTGTGAGCCGTACTCGTGAAAATATTTATATTAACACTGAATTAGATAATTTTGAGGACACTATGAACAAATTAATCTGATGCGGCTTAACCTGAATCTGAGGTGGATTTGGATCTGCTCTCGATTTGTCTGGGAATCTCAGGTCTGTGATTTTGGTCTCTCACGCTTAAAGGCAAACACATTTCTTTCGTCAAAGTCAGCTGCAGGAACTGTAAGTTCAATTTTTTTTCCTTCGTATTTTCAAAAGTAGACAAGTTGAACTACTTAACTCTGATGGTTTAACTTCAGCCCGAGTGGATGGCACCTGAAGTTCTACGTGACGAGCCGTCTAATGAAAAGTCAGATGTGTATAGCTTTGGAATCATTTTGTGGGAGCTTGCCACAATGCAACAGCCATGGAGTAATTTAAATCCAGCTCAGGTCCTCTCCTTCACCGTAGAAAATCTAAGATATTTCATTCCGTCTTTTTGTCTCGTGGCAGACCTTAAGGTTTTTGTCCTGGCTCCATAGGTTGTGGCCGCTGTTGGATTCAAAGGCAAAAGGCTCGAGATTCCACGCAATCTGAACCCACAGGTTGCAGCCATAATCGAGGCTTGCTGGATAAAGTACATGTTCAAACTTCCTTTTTTTTTTTTTTTTTCCTTTTTAAAAAATTCCGGGCATCTTAGTCACGGGAATGCGTACATTACGTTGCAGTGAGCCATGGAAGAGACCGTCTTTCGCAACCATAATGGAGCTGCTAAGACCATTGATCAAATCGGCCGCACCTCAACAGGGGGGGCGTTCAGATATGTAGCTCTCTGGTTTCTCATAACCATATGATATGATGCACATACTACAATATATATACTACATCATCCATTCTTTTTCAAGATTTGCTGCCCTTACCCTCCTTGGAGCTGGACACGTTACAAGTTAGATCCGCCTTAAGGTAAAGTTCTTGTGCATATATTTCATTAATCCATTCCTATTATAAAATCTGAACCTTTCGATATATATATATATATATATATATATATATATATATATATATATCAAACTCATGAATCTAATGATACAAACGTAATTGGGTGCAGATTTGTCAATGTCTGTCATCACAGACAGCGGAATCGAAGGAACACAAAAGTATATTATGAGTAATGGAAAGACATCCCCACGGCCACGGGTAAATCCGTTTCGCTGTTGCTGCTGTATTTATTTACACTGTTAAAGCGTAAAAACCTATTTGCCCGCCCACGTATAATATCTCATACTATTTACCCAACTCCTTTTCTTTCTTTTTTTTTTTATTATTTTTTGTATGTACATTTAAACCGCTAAATCAGTACTTAAAAGGGACAAGAACAAAAAAAATTATTCCGATTTAATTAATTATCCATGAACGCCATACAAATTCGCAGTTCTGTCTAAATTTGAATCTGAATTAAGGTTTCGGTTGACGTAGTGAACCCAGCCGCAATTTGCTTTTTTAATTTCATATTTTTTGGGCAAATTGTGGTTTCGAGCTTAATGTGTTTTTTTTATTGCTTATTCGAGATTACAGATTTGGTATTATAAATTTGGGGAAAACAAATATTAACGTTGTTTATCTCATCCTATTCTTCACTGTCCAATTGTCATCAAGGATTCATCTTTGTAATGTAAATTATGTAATCGTCATTAAGGGCCCACAGATCTTCAAACATGGGCCCTACAAATCCAACTGCCGAGACCCATATTGTGGCCTCCCTCTCTTGCCTTCGCCCCCAAGCAAGTCTTTTGACCATTCCATTTCATTTAATGCTCAAAATCTCCGATTTCTTATTTGTTCTCATTCTCGATTTTCATTTTTTGGCCTCTTTTTTAAATTGGTAAAAAGCCCTAAAAATTCCTGAAATTGTATTTTGGAGTAATATTACTTCCTAAACTTGTAGAGGTGTCTATTAATTCCCAAACTTGCAAAATTGAACACGTTAAATCCTAAACTTGTTAAACGGTTCCATATTCGTCCATGGCGTTATTTGGTCAAAAAAACGAGTTGACGAATATGGAACCGTTTAACAAGTTCAGGATTTAACGTGTTCAATTTTGCAAGTTTGGGAATTAATAGCCACCTCTACAAGTTTAGGAATTAATATTATTCCAAAATACAAGTTCAAATTTTTGTAGGGTTTTTGTGAATAAAATATGAGTATCTTTTAATTTCTAAATTGTTTCTAAATTGTTTTAGAAAAAATTATATTAAAAAAAATATTTCTAAATTAAATATATTTTTTAATAGTTATGAATATATAATCAAACTGTGAAAACTAAAAATAAGATAATAAAATAATGTGGTAGAAGAAATGCACTTCAAACACATCACTATAATTCATTTATTTAAATAGATTATTCTAATAGTCCTAAATTAAGTTAAACCAATTGAATTAACAAAACATTTAATCAACGGTACGTTCTTATCCAAAAATCTGTTTATTTATTTATTTACTTTGTTTTTATTCATACAAAGTTTTTATTTAATTATTATTTACCTTGTTTTGTTTTGGCAAATTAGTGGTTCTCATTTCCGGGTCAATGCTAAATTGTACTCAAATAATTTTCTTCGTTCTTTCTACTCTTCCTAACGAGATTGAAAATCATATTTAATCTCATATAATTTCTACGATAAATGAATATTTACTCAAAAGAATAGTTGATAATTTTATTTTCATCCACAAACTGAGAAAAAAGAAATACAAGTGGAAAAAATATTCATTTGAATGTTGAGACTTTTTTTTGGCAATGTTATTAGTTTCTACTGGGAAAATATTTTTAAAAAATGCATATCTTAATTAAGCATATAAGTTTGGTAGTTTCACGTTATTTACCCTCTTTCATTTTTTCCAAAACTTTCTTACAGAAATTTAAATAATATATTAGTATAATTTCTTTGCTCATCAGATTAGTCCAAACATTAAATTACAAAAAAAAATTTAAAATTTTAAAATAATAAACATAATCAAAGGCAAAAAAGAACAATAAAAAAACCTAAAAATTCCTAAATTTATAATTTGGAGTAATATTAATTCCTAAACTTGAAGAGGTGCTAATTCTTATTTGGTAAAAAAGCGAGTTGACCGATCCGACGTGGTGCGTGACGTGGCGAGCCACGTCGGATCGGTCAACTCATTTTTTTGACCAAATAACGCTATGGACGAATATGGAACCGTTTAAGAAGTTCAGGATTTAACGTGTTCAATTTTGCAAGTTTGAAAATTAATAGGCACCTCTACAAGTTTAGGAATTTTCAAAATACAATTTCAGGAATTTTTAGGGTTTTTTCCCTTTAAAATTTGATTTATTTACGGTGTCTAATGTTAATCACAATTCACAAGTTTAGAACCATTTGAAACAACAGCCGACTAAATTCGATGCAACCCTCGATCGACTTGTACATGATTCACGTTGAAATAACAAAAAAAAAATGTAAAAAAAAAAAAACTTTGGAGTGATCCAACTACATTGCAGAGCAATGGCAAGCTCTGGAAAATATCCAGATCCATGTGGGCCCCACGTTTTCTTCCCCATAGCAATCTTCATCGTCGGAAAATTGTCAGACAACCCCACGAACGGATCCAGATTCAGAGGGAGACGTCAATCGGAGCTACCATGAAACTGCCTTCTATATGTCCGCCAATCTCACCTCCCTTGTCCGAATCCCAACTCCACGACGAAGAACAAGAAGATCGTCAACTATCCTTTGCCGGGATTTCTTCACCGCCCTCTCCCTCTCTAGATTTTTATCAAAAGTTAGTCGGTTATTCCCTCTTTATAAACCCTAATCGCCTGTTTCCCGTTTCCCCATTTCCAACCCCCTCCTTCCGTTTTTCCTCTTTGTCTCACTTTTTCTCTCCCCAGTCTGCGAATTCAGTCTTTTAACTGTTTCAGATGAACCCAGAAAAAGACAATCCTCCGAAACCCCCTCCGATATCGACCCAACCCGCTTCCGGGTCTCTTTACATCGAAACCGACATGGGCTTCTCCGCGTCTCCGCTATTTTCACCGCTCACTGGTCTCGAGGCGTTATCCGCCGGGATCTGCGGCGGAGGAGAGACAGAGATGCCGCAGCCGTTGGAGTGCTTGCAGGGGAATCCGATTCCGCCGTTTCTGTCGAAGACGTTCGATTTGGTGGACGACCCGAATCTCGACCCGGTTATCTCTTGGGGCCAAACCGGTTTGAGCTTCGTGGTGTGGGACCCGGTTGAGTTCGCGAGGGTCATCCTTCCTCGGAGTTTCAAACACAACAACTTCTCCAGCTTCGTCCGACAGCTTAACACTTACGTGGGTATCGCTGTAACGCCTGTTATAACTAACTCTGGTTCTTCTCTTTTCTCATGTAATTTCTTCCACATTTCTGGACCAAGTAGCTGTATATTCTGACAAAAAGATGCTCTAAACTGGGTTTTACACATCATCTGTAAGGATTTCTGATGCTGTATCTATGTATTCGAGTTTTGTTTTATGATTGATTGTTGTTTGCAAAGCTTCTGTGGAGAAGATGATGGGTTGATATCGTGAGATTACACTGTAAAGTTTGAATTGTTTCATATGAAGACAGACCTTTGTCTCTGACGTTTGTTACTTGCTCCTCACGACTCTGGTAATACTGGCGTGCTCTTCAGGTAGATCCTCTGAAACCAAAACCACACCTCTTTCCTTGATTCAACTCAATTCTCATTTCCCATTCTGGTTTCACTATCACGCAGATCTTCTTCATAGAGAAACTGGGTTTCTTCTTGAGATAAAACTAGGCAGCTTTTTGCTTTTGCTGGATTTGATCCTGATGTTATGTGGACTTACACCCTTTCTTGTTCGTTCTTGAGTTGTTTTGGGGTTGGATGTCTTCAGGGTTTCCGGAAGATCGATACTGACAGGTGGGAATTCGCCAACGAGGCTTTCCAGAGAGGAAAGTCCCATCTTCTGAAGAACATACATCGGCGAAGATCATCGCAATCTCAGCAGGCGAGCAGCAGCTGTTTCTTCGGGTCGCCTCCTGAGGTCCGGGCCGAGATCGAGAAGCTGAGAAAAGAACGAAAAACGTTGATAGCGGAAGTAGCAGAGCTTCAGCAGCAGCAGAGAGGGACAGCTCGGGACGTTGACTCGGTGAACGAAAGGCTTCAAGCCGCAGAGCAAAGGCAGAGGCAGATGCTCTCGTTCTTGGCCAAGCTCTTTCGAAACCCTAGTTTCTTGGAATGTCTCAGGAGCCACGGGGAAGGAAGAGCTTTCGGGCCATCGTCAAAGACTAGAAGGAAGTTCATCAAGCACCAACAACACCATCAAGGTTCTGATTTAGATTCTTCTCCAGCTGGAATTCAGACCCTGAAGCACAGAGCTGATGATTTCGGGAGCGTTGAAGTGACAACATTTCTAAGTACTGCAGAAGAAGGTATACCATTTCGAGTTGGAGACGTTCCATTAGCAGAACGGTTCTCCAGGCAAAGGGCTTCAAGCCCAGGAACCGAACAACAACAAGAACAATACCTCGATCCAAAAGGAAAGAACTCGATGAATCTGCCGAAAGAATCGATGAGTCCAGAGTGTTCTGCGTCTTTTCCATCTCCTGGATGGCTCGAAAGCATTGCCAAGCAAGAGGAGATATGGAGCATGGGTTTCGAGGCAAGTGTTTCTGCAATGGCGAGTTCCTGCAATACTGAACTATGGGGCGATATAATCAACTGTGACGGTCCAGAGCTCGGCCCTGTCACGACAACAGCAGGTGGGTTGTCTGATTTCTGCTGGGACCTTGGATCTGAACAACTGGCTGTAAGTGGTTCGGAGATTGGTCTCAGTTGGGCAACTGGCGGAAGCTCCTCGCTTGATGATGATGCTCTAACAAAAAAGGATTAATAATCTTTTAAGTGTTCTTCATTAGTTCCTCCCTGGTTTAGATAAACCCATGATTTATCGACTCAAGGATTGCGGTTCGATGAGCCGTAGATTATGATTTTAATATTTTTGTTTGTACATTTAAAGCGCCATTAGTCATAATCTCTTTGTCATTATTCACGATTAACCTAAGAAATAAATGATAATTACGAAAACAAACGTTTACATCTAAACCCTACTTGTAGCTGGTAATCAGACTCAAATCCTTAAAGAAAGGTGCTAATGAGTTTGAGTTTACAAAAGCATAGAGAGTTGTTTGATTTTATTAAAAACACACGTAAAATTAATACTAATATTTAAAATTTTATATAAATTAGTTCAAATAACTAAGATTAAATGTCAGTGGCTAGGAAGTAAAAATAATGTGTTTTTACTCAAAAGAAGGCAATATAATCAGCATGGCACGACGACGACGACGACGATGATGATGATGATGGCGATGATGATGATGATGATGATATGACGTAAGGGGTGACTCAATAGGGTGAGGATGGACTGTGGACCTTCTATGAACTGTGATGCTCGAGTCCCACGGTCCCACATGTCGACGACGACTTCCACTTACCTTTTTTTTCAAAGTTCACGTGCCTAATGCCGATTACCACAAAATGACATTTTTTTTTATAATCATGTCTTATAAATATTATCCCAAAGATATATCTTTTTTTAAAAAAATTTATGGATTATGCTTTCTTGTAATCTTTATGCCAAATGGCCTATAGGTTTCAAAACCACCCATCACACGTCTATATATATGTTAATGGACAAAAAAAATACACGAGTTGTTGATATATGATAAGTTTTTTAGGGCGAATATTAGAAAATCGAGTATTTGTATATAGTGATAAGGTGATGATAGAAAATTTGTGTATTTATATAACATATTTTTTTATAAAAAAAATTATGATTGTAAAGTAAAAGAGTAGAAAGAGATGACGGGAAGTGTGTGAGGGAGGAGGGAGCAGAGAGCAGAGTAGAGAGACAATGGCAGAGACTCAAAGTTATCAATAGAAAAAGATCCAGTTGTAAACTTCAGTTCTTCATCTCTCTCTCTCTCTCTAATCTCTATATATATACACACACACACTATACACAATGCCCATCGATTACATAATCATATACCAAATTTCAACCATTTTATTTAAAAAAACCAAACATGAATAGTCTTTTCGAAAGGACAAAAACTAAGAATATAAACGCAGAGATGTGACTATTTGATGAAATCTCTCTGTAGGAGGAGTGACGGTTCTTTCTTCGCGAAGCGAAAGCTTCTCAACCCTCTTTCCTTGCGTTCTTCTTCTGTATGAAATCAAAGAATTAAAAATTTTCGCAAAAAAAATATCAATAGAAAGTTAAATTATGTATAAAATCAAGAAGCAAAATCCAACAATGTTATATACAGCTCCACTGCCATATAGCCTTTCATTATATATATATATATATATGGCATGTGCTGTGTAGATATGTGGTACAAATTACGATATGTGGACCGTATAGCAAGTAACGATGTTATAATAATAAGTATGGAGATAAATAAAAAATCAATTTGATGCATGGAGGGGTATGTGTATAGGGAATAGGGACAAGGAAAGTGATCTCAGCTTAGGGGGGAAAAGGCAATTGGTTCTTTTCTCTGCGTTCCTCTGACGATGAAACACTGAACTCTCTCTCTCTCTCTCTCTCTCTCTCTTCACTCCTCTGTACGGATCTGCATACGTCTCTGTCTCCCGTATATGACCCCACATTTACGTCTCTCTATATGTGTATATCGTTGCATGTCTATACATACACTCACGTGTCTATGTATCATATGTGCTTATCTAACAAAAATGCAGTATTAAATATATGCATTGAAACACGAGCTTAGTCAAAGGAGTGAATTTTATAAGATAGCCATTTTCACAATTCGATCAGAATATATATATATATATATATCGCTTCTAGTTACGGCTGTGGTATACATATATATATTCGTTCATCGAAAAGGTTATATACATATTATAGATGATTTCCAAGGTATATATATATATATATATATGGTCGAACGCATATATTAAAGACCAAACTGTTATATATTTAATGGATGGATGCATGCATATAATGGACATATCTTCTAAAGAACGATATATATTACGTCCATGTGAATTCTTCTTCTTCTTCTTCAGACACACAATCCCATGCAATTAATTTGAAGCAGCTGAGGCGCTCACAAATCACATATATATACACACAAGCAGGGAATGAGATTAATAAGGAGGTTTACAAAATAGATAGGTGCACATAAATATAAATTATAACACATTGGTTAAACCCTACTTTTACCTCAACAGTTCTTCCTCAAGCATCGTAACCATCATCATGTATAGGTCAAGGATTTGATTGTATAACCGAAAGAATTGGTCAACCACGACTTCTTCTCCTCCTTAAAAACTTACTGATTCTCCCCTTTGCTTAGCTTCAAACCATAACTTTCCCACAAGTTCTGATCCCCATCTCCCATGAAGAACGGGAAGCACACATTGCTGGTGACTGGACCGCCATTGCCATGTTCATTCAACTGATGATGATGATGATGATCACTGGTTCTATTGTCGTTGTATCCATTTCCATGGCCGTTATACGTCGGATCTTCGTCAGTTCTCGGGAAATACACGCCACAGTTGGATGATTTCTCCTTCCTTTTCTTGTTAGTCTGCTTGTTTCCCTTCCTCACGATCCACTCCCACTTTTCCTTACACGTCAAGGCACTTCTTTGATCAAACCCTAAACGTGCCAACTTCGCCGATATTTCCTCCCACAGAAACTCGTCCGAACATCCGCCCGCCATCGCCTGTTGAAACTCCGATTCCATGCTCGTTCTCATCTCCATGAGCTTTGTGATCTCGGCCTCGATCCATCCCGTGTCGCCTTTCAGACATACATTGTTAGTCGTTTGATCGCTTCCATTCTCGTTCTGATTCTCACTGTGGTTCTGGATCGCGTTACCGTTAATCCTCTCGTCCGGAGATGAACACGCCGCCTTCCTAAGCGGCCTTCCCGTTAAACACTGCAAGGCCTCGATCAGGGCAATATCCCGAGCTTCCATCCTTTCCCTCTCCCTCGCCCAAAAGGAATGTTCTTTACCGATTCTCGCAGCCTCTAATCTCCTCCACTCTTCTTCTCTGATCATCCTTTGCTGCTCTTTATCTTCAATCGTCTTGGCTAACCTCTCGAGCCACGCCTCTTGCCTCTCTATCAACCTTTTCATCTGCAAATCGATGAATTCCTTGATCTTCGCCTTCCAGCCCCTCCTCTTTCTCCGAGTAGAGTGATTGCCATCATCATCAGAGGAAGAAGTGTCCAACTCCGATGAGTTATAGTTGTTAGATAGGCTGAGGCTATTATCGGTCAAGATCTTCTGGTGGAGAGGGTGAAGGCCATTGATCACCGCCCCGGGGTTATTACTATTCGGTGGATTTGCATTCACGTTGCCGATGAATTGCGTTTCGGGCAGAGAAACCGAGTGGTTGGTGTCGCCATAGAGAGCTTCGAGCTGCCGGAAAAACCTGTAGTGTTTGCCGTCTTGTCTCCCGGCTTTGCCCTCTTTGGTTTTCCGGTAGTATTTGTACAAATTCTCAAACTTCTCCCTGCATTTCTTCCCACTTCTATTGTAACCATGCTCCTCAGACATGATCCTACATTCAAAATAATCAAGAGAAGAAAAGGTTCAAGCCCAAAGATTTTGCGGCAACCATAGACTGGAAATTGACCATTCAGCTTGCCAAAACAAATTAATACGGAAACACACACACACACACACACACACATATATATATATATACATATATATCTGTGTATATTGAGTTTTGTCATAATGTAAGATGAAACAGCAGAGCCCACATATATAGCTGTTTCACTTGTTTGGGGATTTATTTCTATATGCATTGTTTTGTAACTTTCGGACCAAAATGTTTGAAAACTCACTTTGATTGAATTGATGGAATATTTCGATGCATACAAAAGAAAAGAAATACAAAATCTTCAGAACTGATCAGTAGATATGTAAGAAACTAAGTCAAAGGAGGAAGGTGTCTTAACTGAAACTCCCAAGGTGTCTGGTCATTCTCTTGACCAAGCAAAACGAGTACTAGAAAAATGGACCGACCCTTGTCTGCACTTTAATGTGTACATATATGTGCGTGTATATGTTTGTTTGTATGTGAAGTTATATATTGATCTGCTGAGAAAATATAACTTGAAATCGAGGAGCCGGGGCGTCGTTTTCTCGTTATTAATACCGAATAAAAGATGTTATTTTTGGGTTTTTTTGAAAGGTCTAATTTTTGTCAAGAAAATTTATGAAAGGTCAAATCTTTTCAAATCCGAAAGAAACACGCGAAAAGGGAAAGTGTTTATTATAGTAAAAATTTTGTTTAGTAAAAAAATCTCAGTAATTTCATTGAATTTTTTTTAGAAACTATTCAACCTCAAATACTGTTGAAAATAAGAAACAAACAGCTCATTCTACTCTTGAACACAATCGAAGGAAAGTTTGCTTATGAATCGAGACCCTTTTTCGTAAAAAAAACAAATTCCAGATTTTTTAAAAAAAAAATCTTGAAAATAAAACAAGAGAGAGAAAGATATTTGAAAATGTAGATAGAGAAGGGGGAATTAGGGTAAAAAATTAACCTAGAAACCTCATCCCAGAGAGGACCCTTTTGATTAGCTTCTTTGAACTTATGATCAAGGCGAGATCTGATCTCTAACAGCGTCAGAGTCTCTTGCCTCGGCCATCTCCCGCATCCTCCGCCGTCTCCGCCGTCAAGAAACCCACCAAACCCGCCACGGCTAACACCGCCGTTGCCGCTAGTACTAGCGAGAGTTGCATTAGCGTTAGCAGCGTTACTCGCTCCGGCCGAAGAGTCGATGAAAAGCCCATGTATGCCACGCGGCACGAAACCCATCTCCTGATCTCCGAACTGAAGCCGGTGGTGCTGATGATGCGGCCCGAGATTGAAGCCGAATAGCTCCGACGGAATCGTCGCGGCGGCGGAGGGGAAATGGGGTGACGGAGAAGATGACGTCAGCCTTCCTCCGCCGCCTTTCATGAGCTGCCGCAGCTCCGGTATACCGTAGTGAGGGTGGTGGTGGTGATCTTCCATCGATTTTGCGCTTGATTCAGCAGAGAGTACGGAAGTGAAGAAAACAAAGGAGAAAGGGAAAGGTTTAAGCTTTTTTGAGAGAGAGAGAGAGAGAGAGAGAGAGAGCGAGAGAGAGAGCGAGAGAGACGGATCATGTCGTCCACGAAAAAGGTCGAATTTAAGTTACGGCCTCTATGGTCCCATGGCTTTTTTTTTTCTCTTCCTTTTTTTTTTGTTGTTCTTGTGAGAGAGAGATATATTGATACGAATATTTGTACGTGCTTTTGTGTCGATGTGTATCTGTCTATATATATGTGTATTGATCTCCATTTCATTGGACTGAAGCTGGATTTATACGTATGTAAAGGTTGCCCAACTTGACATCAGCATTCCACGGAGTCAAATAGCATAATTACAGTGATTAATTGTAGTTATTTTTAATCGAAATTAATTTCGGGTATGAAATGATTATGCGAAAATTCCAAATCAATAACAAATTTTGAACAATTGACATACTCCTATAGTCCTATGTGGTGTATATAAATCTCTTGAATTATAATGAATTTAAAGATCAATTTAAAAAAAAAATAAACAAACGGAATTTATATGTTTTTATACAAATTTCACACTCTAAACCTTATGAAATCGAACAAATCCGATCTAAACATGGCTCAAATTGATTAGAGTTAACATAAGTTGGTGATTAGGGTTTAAATTTTTAATTGAGAAATAATGAGTTGGTAATAATGAGAAAAGAATTGTGAAAAACAATACAAATTTTTATTATATTCCCTACAATCCATGTCATTTTGAATATATGGCCGCTGCATTGATTACATTGTAATTGTTCTCTCAGAACCCTATGGTGGACTCCATACGGGTTTGTTACGATTTTATTGTGTCATGCTGACTTGACACGGCCAACGTCATGGACTTGACGGGCGTGGGACGCGCTCCTAGTCATGCTGACTTGACTAGGGCTTATGGCTACAAAGCGCTCGCGGG